CAAGATTTCCGCCACTGACTACGGTCACTGTGGCTGGCTTCAAATATGTTGACGTCACTTTACACACGTAAAAATGCACAAGTTGTCATGTAAACAAGTTGTTACAAATCTGTTCACAAGCTGTCGACAAGTTGTGTTCGCACTGCTTGTTCCCAGTTGTTGTAACAAGTTTGGAACAAGCTGTTAACAACTTGTAACAAGCATGATGGCATTATCAGACTTGTTACAAGGTTGTTCTTACAAGTTTGATACGGTCATGATTTTACAAGACTGTTACAAGGTTGCATGATGACACAAGGTTGAAACAATATTGTTATATCATGACCGTATCGGACTTGTTGGAACAACCTTGCAACAAGTCTGATAATATCAACAAGGTTGTTACAAGTTGTTCACAGCTTGTTCAAACTTGTTGACAACTTGGGACAAGCAGTGCGAACACAACTTGTTGTCGTTGACGGCTTGTTGACAGACCTCTACAAGATGCAAGATTTTAACATGTGTAGAACAATATAGTAACCAGGAATGCAAAGTCGCAACTCTGAGTTTCACATTGACACGAATGACGATCTTCGGTACAAAAGTTCAACAAAGATATGTTCAATAAGATATAATAGATTATAAATATAAAGTCAATATTACAAAATAATTAAACTACAATTTTAAATTCAAAAGTGCTCATTTTCCACACAGGATTTTTTGTGTTGATTGGCTCGACCATAGTCCGTTCACGAAATGTAACATTGTCCTCATGATCTACCACTATTACAGAGTTTGTTCTAAAAATTGAAAAAAAATAAAATTAATTGCTTGTAATATGGTCTGGTATGTCAGAGATAAAAATGACTTTCTGTATGCATGGTCTGGTAAGTCTGAGATAAAAATGACTTTCGGAATCGTCTAGCGTTATTCAGAGCAAACTAGTTATAGACACCACAAAATAACACACCTTGTACCATATTGGATTTCAGGGATATTTGATTTCACTGATATTGCAGACAACACTTCAAGAAAACAGTCAGGAAAGCCTTCGTCTTCAGGACCACGGAAAACATCATCAACACCATATCTAGAAAAAAGGAAATCTAACAATTAAAGCTAGCCTGCATGTAGTAGCTAGTTTTTTGGGGAGGACTTATGGGCAGAAAAATTTTAGGTGGGGTAACAGGCAGTAGGAAACAGGCAAGCAAGAAAACCTATTCGCTCTCTCCTATTTTTCTGCCCCCCCCCACCTTCACCCCCCTTTAATACTGGTGGCAGGTGTTCTGGGTGATGTATCCACTACCCCTCCCGCCTCTATACCCTTATGCACCTGGTCTCATCACGTAATAGCTCGAAAACTTTTTCAATTTTTTCTTGCATCACGCTATCCCCTTTCACAATTTTTTCAAACCGTTCTTTTCCCAAAACAACTTTCTTCCAGCAATAGTCCAAATATCGATTACTGAGCGCGTAGATTCCAGCTTTCAAATTCTCTAAAGGCTGGTGCTCTTTGTTGCAATAATAACTGAAATCCATTTCAGATTTGCCTTGAAAGACATCGCCAAGAATCAAATTAAAGCCACCATATTCACTGCCGTGTTTCTTAACATTTTCTAGGAATTTTCTGGGGTTTTCTTCAGATTTCAGAAAATCTGATACCAGGTGCCCTCTGCCCTTATCGCTCTGGTTTCTAAATTTTTCACTCTGTCGGTAGTTTGTCAGGATTCCAATTTTCCCAGTTTTCGTCATTCCGAGCCATGTCCCACCTTCCTTTCCAGGAAACAGGTCAACACCTGTAGCAATAGTATAGAGGTGATATAGAAATTCTTAGAAAGAAAATTGCAGGATGACTTTTTAAAGTTTAATTGGCAATGTGCCCTAACTTTATTATAATTTACTCTGTCTAATACCAGACAATTTTACTTGTCAAAGGAAGAATGCTAGCTTCCACTCAATGGGTTAATCTGGACTATCAGTGGAATTATAGGGTGCTGGATATTTATGGTTTAACCCTTTGATGTGCAAGCATCTTCCCTTGATGAGAAAGATTGTCAAGCATTGGAGACTTTGGACAATATATGAATAAATTCATATGGGTAGGACTAAGTCTCGTATGGTGACATAGTCACTCGAATAATGGTCTTCACTTTTAGAGTTGCCGATAATGTTCGACTTAGTAAAACCATCTAGTTTTTGCACCTGAGATTATATCTGGTTGACTATCCCACCAATTGAGCTCTTTCGTTGGTCGATTATAGAACTCATCTCGATTTGCGGCAATGATAACCTTATATCCATCTTGTTCCGGATTATCTGAGATGGACAGAAACACAATGCACATGGTTGTTGAAGTATTTCCCCGAATAAATTACTTAATTTCTAGGAATTCCAGCTTTCAGTTCAGTATTCACTGAGGTACATATATAGGTCTGTGGTTGTTAATTATAAATTCATAATAGTCGGATTATGTTCGGAAACACTCGAGCCCTGTTCGGAAACTGTCGGCATAAGTTCGGAAACTGTCGGAGTAAGTTCGGAAATAACTGGAAGTATTCGGAAATAATCGGAAAATGTTCGGGAACAGTCGTAAATTTCTCGTTTTCAGACCTCCTGTTTTGTCGCGCGGTCATTCAAAATGTTGCGGGAGCCATCCAAGATGGCTGCCTCAAACTCGATAAAAGAATGGGAAGGTAGCTAGAATTTTTGAAGATTGTTTTAAAATTAAACCATATAACTCTTTTATGTATACTATATGTGTTTCTACGTATCGTTTTATGTCCGTAAAAGCTTCGTAACGTCATGTTTTCGTTGTTGTTTTGCCCTAGAATTGCGTAAGAGAGCTCGACAGATTGAGAATGAACTCGATTTGAAGTTAGTCTCGTTCAGTAAACTTGGCACGAGTTACAGTCACAGAGATGACAGGTAATGCAAGATAATTTAAGAGTATTCTTGTCACTGAATTTTAGTTTTAACGCTGGTAAATTCCTTGTATTTATAAAATGTGGTTAATTTATATTGTTGTTTTCAAAATAGTTCCGACAAGTCGCCGCTTTTGAATAATTCTTCAAGCGAACACATGTTTCAAACAATGTCTTTGGAAATTGGGGATCTTTTGTCCAAGGTTTGAAAATATTTTGTTCAAATATTTCTTGGTTATTGGTCAGTAAAATGATGAACTGCTGACATGTACGTGAATGACGTCATCAGAATGGTGACGTCATCAGAATGGTGTCGTCATCAGAATGGTGTCGTCATCAGAATGGTGACGTCACCAGAATGGTGACCTCATCAGAATGGTGACGTCATCAGTAGTGCGATATTTGTACTGGTTGTTGAAAGTATGGGCACTGCAAATATTGCAAATTTTTTGACAACTTTATGCAAGCATGGGGTAAAATTACTTTGAAAATTAATTTTCCGAGTGAACAAAGATGGCGGTCCAGGATTTGAGCTGTGAACTCAATGTTTCTAACTTTCTGTCAATGTTTCATATAAATATATGGATATTGAGGGTTAGAGGCAAATGTTTGTTCATTGTCTGAAGGATTTTAGGGCATACAGAAAGGGGTGACAGTTCAGCTCTGCTGTAGGAAGTGTATGTGATTGTGCTTGTCTGAAATTCTTGGCATGCGCCAAGCTAATTTTGGCGCACAATTTCATATGTTTGTACGCCTAGGCCAAAAAAAAAAATATGTGGGTTTCCGGTTTCTTCTTATAAAAACTTAGGTAGGGTAGGTCGGTTTTAACTTTTTTTTTTAAACTTTTTTTTTTAATTTTCCGAACAAGCGGACGCCATTTTGTTTAGTCAGTGCTTCCACATCCAAAGATAAATTTCCCTAATATTTCCTCAAATTTCAATTTTCCACAAACTTTTTCCTCTAAGTGGAAACAATTACAAGCATGATCCAATAAAAAAGTTTAGGGTTGGGATTTCGACGTCCAAAAGCTAGGTAGGGTCGGGAAACCGGAAACTTACATATTTTTTTTTTGGCCCTATTTTTTAAGTGAGTAAGACTTTGTAGGGACTTTGAATGACAGGGTTGGAGATAAATATTTTGAATTTAGATCTATTTGTAGACTGCTTGGTACATGTACCTTTTTTGTACTGGCAATTTTTTTCAAGTTTCAGGCTCTGGTATGCCAAACATGAATATCACTAACATCTGATTACGAATATGTGGAAAATACCCTACCATGAACAAAGACTGCAGGACTTTTAACCCATTAAACTACAGAGCTTCCCCATTGGCGAGTAAAATCGTCTGGCGTTAGGCAAGTAAAAAAAAGTAGGGTGCACTGGGGCGCATTGCGGCCCAATGGGTTAACTAGAGACATTGTCAGATCTTTTGGTTAACCCGTTCAGTTGCAGAGCTTCCCTATTGACAAGTAAAATTGTCTGGCGTTAGGCAAGTAAAAAAAATTAGGGCGCATTGCGGCTCAATGGGTTAATACCAAGGACACAGATTAAATTTCAATTTTCCAGTCAGGCTTGACAGAAAAATTACAAATTGGCAGTAAGAATAGATTATATAAATTATGTATGGCTCTTTTATATGAATTATGATGGGCAATGATTTTCATATGACTCCTGCAGTTCCCATCACTTACAAAAATTAATTTATAATGGGGGGGGGGGGTGTTATAAATTTAGTTTTTGAGATATTACGCAAAATTTGTTCCACAAAAACTGTTTTACATAATTTTCTAAAAATTGAGTATATTGCAATAAATGACTGGTACTTTTAAAAATACAAAATTTCAGAAAAAATTGACCGAAGGAAAAAAGTTTATTGCATTACAAACCTTGCGCGGTCAAATGAAATTTTTGCTGACGTGTAAAATTTCAACTCGACAAGATCACATCATTTCGTTACCAGTCCCATGCTTAAACTGCATAGGGAGCCACCTTTTAAGTTACATTTTTAAAGTTTTTTCTTGAAAATTTGAAAAACAGAATGTGTCATAGTGTGCCGGAAATTTTTATCTAAAATTTTTCAGGCTGCACATACATGAAACATCATTGTTTCATGTATGTGCAGCCTGAATGCTAGAGTTCTAGCTCATACTATAGTCAAGAAAACAATCAGATCAAGAATTTATTTAAAAAATTAATATGAACATTAATTACAATAGTGCAATTAATCACATTTTTTATATTTTATTTCTGTCATATATTAAGGATTGTTCGTAAAAAAGGCCACCTTAGCTATTGAAATCTATTTGCAGTTTACTGTGTTGTGCAATATTATAATTAAGTCACTAAAGAGTAATCTTGCAATGTCAGCAATATTTTACAACAGCAGTAGCACCAGATCTTGTTTCAGCCATGGCTGGGAACTCTGTCCACGTGTTGGTGTGGAAATTAAAGCATTCAACAGAGTTAAGATCAGTGAGATTTTCATCCCATCCGCCCATTGCGATAATATAATCACCAATGGTCACTGCTGTGCAACCACATCGCTTCTTTGTCATCTCAGGAAGCATGCGATGACTTCCTGTTGTAACATTATACAGTATCACTGTATTGAGAGCGTTGTCTTGATTGTTGTTCTCGCCAAGGACGACCACATTGTCTTTCCAAGTTACAGTTGCCATCCTTGACACCGGATGTGGAAGTGGTTTGAGCTCTGTACAAGTATTGGTTGCTGGGTCAAACATGAGAACAGTGTTGGTTGCGGCTTTATAACATCCTGTCGTATTGCCACCAATGATGTATATCTTGTCATTCACTATCTCAGCACCATGGCCACATATTGGCCTGGGCATCTTGGTAAGCAACCTTGATGTATAGGGAGGGGTCAGCTGAATTTCATGTATTGTATCATAGGTTTCAGTAAAAACACATCCTCCAATAAGAAAAACACGATTCTGATATACCACGCATGCGTGACCACTGGACGGTTGTGGTAATTTAAATTGAGATTCAACCCAATGTCCATCTTGCTCAGCAAGATTTAGTTCTTTAACACTGTCCAGGTATTCGTGGGAGCATCCGCCTGGCACAATCATGTGACCTTGGTATAAAACTGAACTTGCTTCAGCTCTCCATTCATTCATCTCTGACAGTGACCGCCATGTTTTGGTTGCCATGTTGAACACTTCCACAGATTTACAATAATACCCTCCTGCGACGACAATCTCGGCTTGCAATTCCTGACCACTGCTTGCATGACTGCCTTCTGAACGTTGTGCCGTATTTCTCATAAGACTCGACATCATATTTTGCATCATTTTAAACATTTCATCTTGCGTAGAGCGAACTTCTCTCAACTCTGCTTTTATTTCACGAATTTCTTGCCTTGGTGGACATGTATGCTGCATGAAGTTCTTGTACAGCACCATTTGGGCGCAGTAATCACACTTGACTCGTCGAAAATCACAAACTTTATTTTCATGGATTTCTTTATCACGTCGACTTATTATTTCCTCACATTGATCGTTGGAACATGGCATTGGACTGAAACTACAAGTTGCTACGTGTGTGTCAAGTGAGCCAAGTTCGACGACCTTGCGACAACCACGCTCTGAATTGTCGCACGAAATCTTCAAACTTGACAGGGTGTTCGCTAGGAATCGTTGAGGTCTGGCCAGGGTCTCTACGGTCATTGGATCTTTACATGTCGGACAGTTCCGTGAATGTCGTAGATGTTCAGTGATACAATTTCTACAGAAATGATGTTCATTCCTACGACATTGTACTGGATCTTTTAATACTTCTGTGCATATTACGCAGTGAAGGTTTTGATCCACTTGCGTTTCAAATCTGGTATCTTCATAACCTGTTGCCATCGCTTGTCTACATCACTAGATTTCTACATTTTGTTTTCTAAACTTTCGCAGCAAAGTAACACACACAAGGGCATGTAGACGTTTGAAGATTCAATCTGTGACGTTTCTCGTTGTCCGAAGTTCTGCTTTTGACTTTGAGGAATTCTGACAATGTCCTGTTTTCAGCTCTTATAGCTTTTTTTGGCAACTCAACCACAGGAGACAATTTTGCTACACAATAGTTAGTTTCGTTTTGAACTCATTTTCATTGAAAAGTTATTCAAATTCATACGTGTATATATCTAGTTTCGTTTTGCAATATATTTTTATTTAAACATCATTAAGAGATGTATTTTTCATTCTGATATTCTGTCTTCATATCGTTCTCCTAATTGTTTTGTTCTTCAATAGTTTTATCTCAGACATGAGATACAAATGGAAGACAGATATTTCTTTGTGGATTGTTGCCGAACATTCGAGAAGTCTGTCATGCTGTGACGTTCTGTAGTCGACTCAAACATTATTAAGAGTTATATATTTTCATATATTTTTTTAGCTTCGAAATTGTATAGTTTAAAAAATGAGCTATATAGACAACAGACAGTTTTAATTCGACTTTTGCTTTGCGAACAATCACTAAATATTCAAGAAATTTTTCGTACAATACATTAGACCACTGTTG